TACCCACATTCCCATCATCCTCTGTGGCACACGCCGTACCCACATTCCCATCATCCTCTGTGGCACATGCTGTACTCACATTCCCATCATCCTCTGTGACACACGCCGTACCCACATTCCCATAATCCTTCACACCACCCTCTACCCCGTCACCAGACTTCATAATCACAGCCCTCCCTTGTAAATCACACATCTAACACACCAAACAGCTGGCGTCTTACGTCCTTCACTGCGCAGCCGACTGCTTAAACTCAGCCTAATCTCTATAGCCAGCTCCTCAAATACCAGCACCCACATCCATTTTTAACACAAAGCTCTTGTCTGATTTTTTTTATCCTTGATGACAAATGAGTGGGAAACAGGAAAAGACTCAAATTCTTCCTTTTAACTATTGTTAAGTGGCTTCTGAGCTTCAAGATTTTCTGAAAAGACAGGGTTTGGGTAACAGTGACAGACGTTACTACCAAGCAGCATGGCTGTTTATTTCTCCCAGAAAGACAGAGGCGTATCCAGGGAATGTGTAACATTCACACGTCCCTCACTTTGGCTCGCTACAATGTCTTAATGGAGAATGGGAGGGCCAATACGAAAGACAGTGCTGTAGTGGGGAGTGTTTCACATCTGCACGTAGGAACCGGTGAGATGAGTGGCCGTCTCTTAGCAGGTCTCACCTGGATGCCGGAACAGGCCAGTGGAAGTGCCTTCACCTGTCCCTGCAGGAGCTGCTCACCTGGCTACAGCAAAAGAATGAAGAGCTGGACCACATGGCGCCCACTGGAGGCGACATCCCTATGGTGCAGCAGCAGCTTGAAGCACACAGAGTGAGAGAAGGGGATGATGGGAAGTGTAGTTAATGGGTAGCTCTTAAGTGTAGCAAATGATTAACCAGCAGGACTGTAATACAGTGGTACCTCGGTTCTCGAACTCACTAGAACTCGAATTTCTTGAAAGTCGAACAAACCAGTTTGACCTAGAACTCGATCTGAATATCAGAAGTTGAACTGTGAACGCTGACCTAATATAAATTGTACGCGCCAGGAAATGAGTCATACTAC